ACTATACCAAAATAAGAAATACATAAAATAATGATAAAATAATGATACTAACTAAAAAGAAAAATTGAGCATAACACCGGCTAGTGGACTTACGCCTTTATGCACATCCGATTATCCTGATTTTCACTAAGATAAGCAAGTATCAAGAAGAATTATTCGATCTTCAAGGCAAAGTTTCGAATCTTATGAATTTTCCGAGTAATTTTACTTATTTATACTTATTTATTTTTACTTATTTATACTTATTTATTTTTACATATTTATACTTATATATTTATACTTATTTATTTTTACATATTTATACTTATATAGTTTATTTATTTTATCATTTTATTAATTAAATTTTGTTTAAGACTAGAGATGAAATGAATCATCCAGCACCTAAGAAAACTCGAGATTGCTGCGTTGTAAAAAAATCAACTGCAGCACCAAATATTGTTCGTGCAAAAGAAATAATTTATTATGTTCAAGGCGATGTGGATGTATCTTGCGTGGCCAATACAAAAATCGCTAGATAATTATTTTTTTTCCTGAAAAGGAGTCGCATTAGCTTTATTAGCTTTATTATATATATATATATATATTTTTTTTAAAAAAACAATAATAGTGTTTTATAGTTTTTTTTTAGCGCTTAGTTTAGAGAAATTGCATTTGACAGAAGCAGAATTTATTATGAATATATAACTACGTATTTTATAGCATATGTATTTATTTTTTTTATAAATTTTATTGCATCATAGATATATTTTTAATAAGTGCCAGTGAACATCGTTCAATGAAATTCAACATTATTCTTGGATTCGTAAATGGCACATGTCAATTCCGAATCGATAGAAATCAATAAACGACACATATCAAATAAGTAAAGTTGCAGAAAGCTTTTATAATTATAAATAGATTGATGTAATGGCATTTTTGACATCAACATTATGTATTAGATTCAATAATATTGATTCAATATTCACAAAATATTTCAAAAATTAAGTTTCATGAGTTTGTTCTTTATTGAAAAAATCGAATCTCATACTCAATAATTATGAAAATGGACATTCGTAACAACTATTGTATTACATGTAACAACTCAATAGTTAACCAATAATATTTAGATGGATACAAATAAGCTGCCATTAGCCTTATCTATTAATAATATTAATATTTTTTCAAGAGAATATTAATAGATTCAGTAATGGGACAAGGAACAATGCTAAATTTGTCATTATCTATACTGTTTACTATCAAATTATTAGCTGCATAGACCAGAAATTCATCCATATTTCTTTGAGTTGGATCAGTTTCAATAACTTCCCATTTAGATCCTGAAATAAATATAAAAATTAATCAACATTTGAATATGATTATTTATACTAAATAAGAACATTTATCTGGCAGCGAACTTAATATGTCATTTCTGAACCCGAAGGGGCCCAGAAGATGATATTAAATTTCATAGTCAGATAATGGAGTATTTTTCAAATAACTCCCGTTACACATCCAATAATTCTAAAATATTTACCGGTCGCTTCTTCAAACTTTTGAAGCATTTCATTAAATTTCAAAATAGTGCCATAAACTCCAATATTACCATTGCGAGCTTCAGGTACTTTAAGCGACTCAACAGTGTATTTACCAATATCTGCTAATGTAGTGGTGTATATCTTCGTATTTCCATCTGCCAAGAATGTAGCTTTTTTATTCTTAATATCAAATCCAAACGATTCAAGATATTCTGTGAATAGTCCGGTATATATATGGGTATATTCAAGCCCACTCTTGTCCAATTCTTCCATGAATCTAAACTTGCCTTCAACGTGTTGGTGTGGTTCAATCCTATAGTAAAAAAATATATATTTAAACAGCTACTAACAAAATATTAAAACAAAAAAAATTACAAAAGTACATGCAAAAAAGATTTATAAAAATATACCCATTCTCTTTAAAAGCTGCCAGATCAAAACCAAAATCGGATGGGATGAATCTTTTCACACCTACCTCTTTGGCGGCATTTAAAAACGGCAATTGAATATCGTAAAAGCAATCGCCACTTACAGCACTAACAAAAACATCGGTTCCTTTAATAGCTTTAATAAGATCACTTTTATCATTATAATCTGCATATACAATCTCTGCTCCTTTAGAAGCCAGTAAAACGGCTTTCTCGTTTTTGTCTTCGGGTTTCCTCCTAAGAACCTTCACCTTATAGGATCCATCATTTAAAAAGGCTTCTGCAATATGAAAACCGCAAATGCCTGTTGCTCCAGCAATAGTTACGGTATGAAATTGCAAGTTACTCATGGTAAGTTTGATATTATGGGTGTTGTTATTTTTGATTTTTCACGATTCTTTTACATCCAAATTTTATAAATTTTTTTTCTTTAATATATCTAATGTTCGTGATATGACAAATAGTAGGCTCTTAATCAGTCTAATAAGACCTAAACAACTATACTGGTCTCATTTACATTCACCGACTTTTTTTTTTTATGGTTTATGTATTCCGATTATGGATGCAGAAATATTTACATTACTATATTAAATCTCATTGTAAGAAATGCATCGAAACATCTTTACAGTAGGATATAACCTAGTGAAGTAAATATTCCTGCATCAATAATTCCGATCAATGAAAATGATACATTTTGATTGAACGAAGGCTATAAATTAATACAAAAAAGATTTCTTTTTTTTTTTTGCTCTTTGCAAAATTGTGCGGTGTTACGAAGATCGTATGGGCGGTATTACAAATATCAGTATGGTACGACCAGATCAGTATGGCATGGATGCAACCGTCCATACTGATCTGCTTTTTACATAATATCAAAATATATACGGTAAAATAATACCAAAATTTATTATACAGTCGGCTCTGAATACCGAACTGCATATTCTGGAAAGTTTTGTTCGGTATAGAGTGGGTTTGTTATATAGTTTATTTTTTCTATAGCTCAGTATACAGAGTTAACCAATTAAATCATGTGTAGGTTCACAACGGGTCAGTATATCTTTGGAAATTCTCGAATATTTAGTAACCGGTATTATATTTAAACAAATAGTTTGTTATATCGAAATATGTGTACATAGTCTTGGGCTGGTAAATAAGAGTTCGGATGAAGTATATAACATTTACTATATAAGTTCGGTATAGGCAGCTTAAATTCTTATAAAAAATCGGTTCTGCCAGATCTGGTTCGTTATAACCATTATACATAGCAACCGCATAAAATGTCCGCGGACACGTGGTGATCTACAATGCTTTCATTGGCTGTTCCCCCGTGACCGTGATGTACAACTGTGGCTGTGGCGCTATGCCTCCGATCCTCCAACCCCTTGCGTCCGAACTTATTGCCTCCTTTTTTCTTCACGTGCTTCGTGCATTTTTGGTAAACAAATAAATCGCGCAATGAAACGCGCTTTACCTTGAACGAACAACTGCACGAAAGTAATCCACAAAGGGTTTAGAGATAAATCTTGAGCGATAATCAATAGTCTAGAGTAAAAATTAGTGTCTCGAGAAAGAAATTAATAACCAATGTTGGCGTATGTTGATCTAGCAGAAAATAAGTTTAGATGAATGAAAAAAGGGTAAGAGTATCATGTGTTTAGCTTTTTATGAATTTCTAAAATATTTATCATTCGCTTTAAATTAAATGAACTTCTTTAATTTGCTTTGTAAGTTTTAATTGTACACATCTTTCTTGTTATTGAAATATTAACTATTAAAGTTTAAAATTATAGAACAATTCTATAAGTCAGCCAGTATCATCAATAATAATTGTCCGGTGTGTAGTGAGTCGTTTCCTTTATTCCGTCATGTTAATTAATTCCATTGGCATAAAGAAAAAATGTCTTTTGCTAAATAGGCGTACCTGGTGATAAAATTAGATTCGTTTGATAAATATTTAACGGTAAGCGATTCTTACAACGATTTTGTTGTAAATTCATAGTGCAAGATGGATTTCAAATTTTAACCAACCAGAGCAACTCTATTAAATAGGCATACCTGGTGATAAAATTAGCTTCTTTTGATAAATAACTACTGGTAAGTGATTAGAGAATTAATTACAGTCGACTCAGGATATAATGAACCTTCTATAACGAACTCTAGATATAACAAACTCAAAAAATTTAAAATTTTCATAATAGTTCGGTATAAAAAGTGGCATGGGTTCTTAAGAAAATGTTAATTTCCCTATAACGAATTTCTTTACTTCTAGAATATTGGTTCGTTATAGGAAGAGTTGACAGTATATGCTTTGAAATAAATACACCAATTATTTTATCTAAAATTAGACATTTAATCATTAATTCTTGTTGCGGCTGAAGCTGGAAACGGCTGAAGCTGGAAATTTTAAATATTTTATTATGAAATTTTCAAAATTTTTTG